AGCAGCTCGAAAATTATATCTTTAAAAAAATTGTACGACCTTCTCAGAAAGATGCGAAGGGTTGACTGAAGATGATAAGTGACGTAAATTCTCAAGATTAGCACAAAAAAATTCTCTTATGATAAAAAAAATCCCAAAGAGAAAACTCAAGCTCTTGTACCTAATAGCTTGCTCGGTACAGAACAGTGATGTCTTCTACAATTAAATTAGAATCTCACTAGAAAGTTTGGATTTCCTGTCAATTGAGTCAATGGTGTTCTTTGCATTGACTTTGGTAAGGGGAAAAAAAGAGACTATTTCCTACAGCACCTCAAGTATTTAAAAACGTTAAATAAAAATATGCTGAAAGAGGCTTGGAATATGGTTAAATGAGTAAAGTGCCTGCTGTGCAAGAATGAGAACCTGAGTTCGGGGTTCCAATATCCATGTAAAAAGTCAGGTGCGGGGCTGGAGAGATGGTTCAGTGGTTAAGAGCACTGACTATTCTTGCAGATGATTCGGTTTTGAATCCCAGTACCCACATGTTGGCTAATAACTGTCTGTAATCCCAGTTCCAAGGGATCCAACTCCCTCTCCTGGCCTCCACAGGCATTGCAAGACATGGGTGCATTTTCATATACGCAGGCAAAACTTATTAAAAAAGTAGATAAAAAAGAAAAAACAATATGAAAGATGATAAAAAGGTATAGGAAGAGCACTAAAGAGAATGACTATGTGTGCATGTGTGTTTGCATATGTGTGCATGTGGGTGTGCATGCATGTGTGTGTATGTATGCATGTGTGCGTGTATGTGTACATGTGTATGTGTGTGTGCCAGTGTCTGTGCATGTGTGTGCATGTATATGTACATGTATATGAGTGCATGCATGTGTGCATGTATGTGTATATGTATATGAGTGTGTGCATGTGTGTATGTGTGTGTATAATATGAATTCCAGTGCTAAGTTATTTTCTCTTAACAGAGATTCCTAAGAAGTATCTTTTATACATTAGCTACACAGAACGATCTTGATCTCTTTAATGGTTCTGATAGAGTATTAACTATAGCCACGAGCCTAGTGAGTATGAACAAAGTTAATTTGAAAAGGACAAGGATGTGATACATGGATTTATCAAAACTTTTTTAAAAATTATTTGTTTTTTATGTGTATGAGTGTTTTGCCTGTATGTATGTAATATACATGAGCTACACAGAACGATCTTGATCTCTTTAATGGTTCTGATAGAGTATTAACTATAGCCACGAGCCTAGTGAGTATGAACAAAGTTAATTTGAAAAGGACAAGGATGTGATACATGGATTTATCAAAACTTTTTTAAAAATTATTTGTTTTTTATGTGTATGAGTGTTTTGCCTGTATGTATGTAAGCGCAACTGTGTCATGCAAAGCCCACGGTGGCTGGAAGAAGGAAGGTGTTGGATCCTCTGGAACTGGAAT